CCCCAAAACCCCAAAACCCCAAAACCCCAAAACCCCAATAATTTTTTAAATTATTGAAAATGGCCCAGAAATGTTATACTAAGATGGGTAAGCCCAAGTTTAATGCTTTAGGGAACGTCCAGAAAAATAAGTATCCTTATCTAAAGAGCTTTGATAACACAAAGATTTCTTTAAGCCTCAAGATGGTAAATGTTAACCTTGTATTTTCATTTAAAATTTCTCTTGCTTAGAATTATCACCTATTCGGTAATTTTAATACTTATTAGGAAAATAATTTCAGCAAGGACCACACTAAAGCTAGCAGAATCAAGATCGAAGATTTAATACGGGAGGGAATCTTTTTTAACAACAATAAGAACATGGAGAAATGTGATACCCCCTAACTAATTCATAGATGTCAGGAAGAGAATTAAAAAGCTGACTAATCATAAGCCTTCTAATCCTTCAGGAGTTCCTCTCACTCACCCCTTTTTAAAATAATCAAAAGCAGCAATGTAAAACTCAGGGCAAAAATTTGTTCATGGGAAGGTAAGCAACTTAGGTCTTATTCTAGAGCAAAATTTTGCTCAAATTATTTGGTACCATGAAGCTCAGAACAGAGTGTAAAGCGTCCAAAGTCAAGTTACTCTGCACGAAATGTCAGTGATTTCAAGTTTTAACAAAATTTCTTGTTTTACCCTAATGTTTTAGATATCAGGCTCTTTCTGCAGGAAATATAAGAAGCTTCACAGTAAATATTCCCTGTCAAAGAATATTGAGCCGGAACAAATCAAATAAACAGGGAATTCCAAAGGAAAATGTGTTTCTCAAAGGCTCTAAACTTGGAAAATAGCGTAGATTTTTCGAACAAATCAAGCAAGCATCCACATCTTACTTAGTAGACAAAAGCAAATATATGCAGAAAAGTTTGAGAGGGATTAGGAATAAGATGTTTCAGAGGAAATAAGAAGTTGTCTGTTCCGAAAAAATCGAGGAAGCCCCAAAAGATCATCCTAACTTTACAGAACTATTGTGATAAAAATAGCCCACTCAAATTTTACAAGAGTATAGCTTTTTTGCTAAGTTACAGATAGCATGAACAACACATTTAAACCTATTGGTAAGCTTCTCAGGCTTACTTCTTAGAGGGAGCAGTGCAAGGAATGAGACAGCCAGATAAAGAACAGCAGTTCAAAGAGAGCATAGAGTGAAAGATCCTCGATTGGATTCCTAAAAGTACGATGACTTTTCAAGGTATTTTCTCTTCATAATTTCTGACCAATGCATCTAATCTAGAGAAACTTTGCGAAACTAAGTAGGACTTATATTAACCCCTAGCAAGCATAAAGGGAAAGCAATAGTCTTGGATAAAAAGAATGACACATTTGATATTGATAGCGATATGGCCCCAGAGCTTACGATTAAGAGTAAATATGAGAAAAATAAATAAAATTCAATAATAAGTAGCTCTGAAGGGGTTTTGGGGTTTTGGGGTTTTGGGGTTTTGGGG